TCGATTTAGCGGATCTCTCGATTTAACGGATAAATTTTCTGGAAAAAAATATCCGTTAAATCGAGACTCACTGTGTACATTTTAAAGTCACCCATAAATTCTTGATGACTTTAGGTGACACGCACCATACTAGAATAATTACATTTTTTGTCATTGATGATTATCATAAACAAAAAATATTTTTAAAATTCAATATTCCAATTCAATCAAATCAATAAAAAATCTAGATAAAAAAAACAATTTTTTATTGCTATTTATTCATTTAAAAATGCTTAATAGTAATTTAATGATTTTACTAAATGGTCTAGATATTCAAGATTTTAAATTTTGAAAAAGAATATGAACATTGGACAAATAAAAAAGAATAAATAGTTTAAATTCACTAAAAAATTTTTTTGATCAACAAAATGTGCGCATTTTTTATGTAACGCAGGCGCCCGCACTCAAATTTCCTACTCATTAATATTAATAATGCTAAATGATGACGACGGAAAAACTGCGATATTGAGAAATTATGAATGAAGAAGTTTTTGAAGATTTAATTGCTGATATGGATTCAGTTAACCTCAACAATAAATCATCATCGAAATCAGAACAAAATTCAAATTTAGTTGATATCACGAAAATTAAAATTGAACAAACTACAACTACGCAAATCACACCTAAAACATCTACAAAAACACCAACACAAAAGGGTAATAAACGTATAGACATTATTGAAGAATACAATAAACGTAATGCTGAAAAAGAATCTTTAAATTTAGTTATTATTGGTAAGTTCCTTAACAAACATTTCGTTTTATTAAATGCCCATATTTACGTTAATGTTTATTTATATATATACATTTTATGTACTTCTTTAGGTCATGTTGACGCAGGAAAAAGTACTTTGATGGGTCATTTACTTTATCTTCTTGGTGAAGTAAATGATAAAACAATGAAAAAATATGAAAGAGAATCATCAAAGATAGGAAAATCATCTTTTGCCTATGCGTGGGTTCTTGATGAGACTGAAGAAGAAAGAAATAGGTTAGATATATCTTTCTTTCTTAATATATCTCTTTTTACATATCTCTCTGTGCATAAATATTTAATAAATTTTATTATGTTATTTTTAGGGGTATCACCATTGATATTGCAATGACAAAGTTTGAAACTAAAAATAAACGATTTACTTTATTAGATGCACCTGGACATCGTGATTTCATTCCTAATATGATTTCCGGAGCAGCACAGGTATTATATTATTCCCAATACTTGTAATAGATGCTACAGTAGGTGAATTTGAAGCAGGATTTGATGCCAATGGACAAACAAAGGAACATGCATTGCTTGCTAGAAGTTTAGGCGTACAACAATTAGTTGTAGCAATTAATAAATTAGATAATGTAATTAATTATATGTGTTTAATTTTCTATTAATTGATTTATAAATCAAAAAATCAATTGATCAATCAACCCATTAATTAAATTACTGCAATTATTCTAATCA